ACCTATAGAGGGTCATGATGGATGCGATTTACCAGAGTAATTTGTGTGATGCCCCTGTTAAAAAAAGTTGCTGCCGCAGTGAGCCTGGCAAATGGAAGTACAGCCAGGGTGATGCAGGAAGCAGTGGTTCTGCAGTCCTCTGTGCAGCCAGCCTCATTGGGAAACCTCTAAAACTAAAGCAGTCCTAGGCGTTTCTCAAGGTTGTGAACCTGAGCCTTGGATGTATATGGAGAGGCCAGAGCTGCTCCAAGGAGCCTCTCTGTGGCCTCCCCCTGTTTCCTCAAAGCAGCAGAGACTGTAACTACGTATAAAATAGGTGTAAATCTCAGCTGCAGTTTTTCCATGCCATGGATGTCAGGGGAGAATATAACGGCATTAAAATGCAACAGTGAGGTCTTTGGTGAAGTGTGAGGGAAGACTAGATCGTAAGGATGATCAGGCATGAAGTTGGTTTCTGGGGCAGGCTGGTCTTCATCAATGGCAATCTTTTAGAGAGAATAATTTCTGCCCTGACTCTCACGGATGTAATTGTTGCTTTGAGGTAAAGAGTCGGATGGGGTGATTTCTTGAAGTCCCTTCCCCAGTCTTGGCTTGTGATCCTATGGATCTCTTCCTCTGGGTGGTTACAATCCTCAGTTTATTTCAGGTCTTTAATTCAATTATTTTTGCCCCAAATGGAAGCCCAAGTCAATCAACTATTCTTTGCTGGGCTTAGCTCTGTGCCTACCAGCAGATGTTTCCTCTTCCACAGTAGAAGACTATTGGAGAACATGATTAAATGTGATGTGCACAGGTGGAAGTGTTTGAATCAGCAGAATTTAATGATAAAATTGCAGGTTGATGAATTTTGCTGTGTAAATAGAATAGGTAAAGCAGTACTTTCACTCTCTTCTTTCCTTTCTTAGTTCAAAATATCATTTCCTAAAACACCCTGAATATTAAAGTGCTTCTGTGTTTTGTATGTAGTTTATATACATGCCTGGTAGAGCTAGGAGAAAGAAAGGAGAAATTGATCTGCAAAGCAAACTCTCTTCTTTTCCAGACTTCACAGTAATTTGAATGAAATTTTTAACTTCATGATACTTAATTCTATAATAGGCATCTTACCCAAATAATACCTGAACTTCTGTTTTTTTTAACCATACTTGAAGTGGAATCTTTTTTTTTCTACTTTTTGCAGATACTTAAAAATATTTATTTTGAACTGTCTGCCTTTTTCATGTATGCTAAGTGTTTTTTTCAATCTGAGTGAATATAAATCTGTTTTCTTTCTGCAAAAGATATATTTATGATACAAGTGGTGCTTTCTATGCAAGTCTGGAGATGCTGAGGTTAGCAGCTTATTCACATCTACACTCTCAGAAAAAGAAATGATGCAGACTCAAAGCCACTTTGTTTCCTGTGTGTGACTTGAACAGGGAGCCGATTTTGTTATCAGCCAGCTTTTAGGTTCTCTTGTGCAGACCCTCTTTGGTGTTAGAGGGCTGGTAGCAAAGCTAGAGATTTCGCACAAGCTCTCGAAATACTGGAGCTGTGCTTGGAGCGTGGCTACTTGGAGATGTTGTGGGAATGCCAGTCTGTGTAAGCTGCAGCCTAATTTTGGTGCCCAAAGGAAGGAAAGGGGGGAGGAGAAAAGCCACCAGTGTCTTCAAGGAAAGATAAATAAGTGCGCTACGCATCTCTCAAAAGCCCTTTACTTCCGCACATCTTTCTTTGATGGCTACAGAAAAGGTAGGAATATTGTTTTTAATCTGTATGATACTGCAGAGGGGAATGCATTTGTACTTACAAACCTTGTGTTATTTAGACTGCAAAGATTTCAGGGGAACACCAGGAACTGGAACTTTAAAAAGTTTGTTTTGTGTTTGCCTTTTGTCCACCCAAGTGTTTGGGTGGGAAGTTATTACAATCGCAATGCAAAAATTTCAAAAAAAACATTGCCAGATAGTTTGCATGTATGCATGCCTAGATGTGAAAATAAAGCTGATGCAGACAAGCAGTGTAAAATAACTTTTTTTTTTTAAATAAGAATATATTATTTTTGGCATCTGGAGAATGGGAAATCACCATAGATTACAATAGCATTTGGGATAATTGTGACTCTAAACTTTCCTAATGTTGCTATATCATACTTCTTTTGGGGGGTTAATGGGTGAAGTAATCCAGTTATCTCAAGTAAATGAAGGCTCTTACTTTGAAAGTTCAGTTTGTTTAAACTTACTTCATTGTCATTATTTTCGTGATGCCTGAGGATATGAAAGGGACTAGTAAAACTTAAATTTGTAGTTGTTGCTGAACCATTCTGGACTTGCATTAGTTAAAAAAAGTTACCTGATCTGTAAAAAATAAATCTTGAATTACAGTATGTCTAAATTTAAAAGGGGGATCAATGATGTATTATATACAAGAGCTTTTCTCAAAGCAGTTTGCCAGGTCAAGCATTCTCAAGTTTAAAAATGTAAAAAAAGTGAATACCTTCTGGAAACTTAGTCTTCGTTTACTTAATTGTGTACTATTTTAACCTGATTTTAAAGAAAAAAAATAGTAATCTAAGTTTGCAGATCTTTTTATCCCAAGTGATTAGCCAAAGGGATCCTAGCCGCTTTTGACCACTTACTGCTGGCATTGGATTCTGTGCTTACGCGATTTATCGTGGTCAATAGAAGTGCAGTAGTAGATCCACTGGTTGGAGTTACAGTGTTTGAAGTATTACCTATGGGCCAAGGTCAAATGCCTTTTTCAAGAATCTCTTTTTTTCAAGAAGCCTTTGTGCTATTCTGTGAAGAAGGCAGACAGTCTTTTTTATTATTATTTTCAAGAATTTTATCAAATAAGAACTGTTTATGTGTTTAACTGTAGGAGTTTTTAATAACTCTTTTACAATGGCATGTTCGTAGTAGTTCTTTGAAGCATTCAGCATATGTCTTCTTTAGAATGTATGACTGGAGCAAGTTTTTCTGTTATTTATTTATTTACTTATTTTATATACGTGTATATTTTGATGCACCTAGTGAAGACTGCTGTGATTTTGCACTGATGTTTCTCAGCGGGACTTTCTGGTGACACTGTAACTGTGGTAGCTGCTGGAAGTCCAGGGAGTTTATGGAAACCTGGATGTATGGATGCTGCAGCGGGTGCTGTGCTATCCTGGCAGGGCAGAGTCCCTCTGCTTGCACTGACTGCTCCCTCAGCTTGATTTAAGTAGAGTCAAAGGCTCTAAATACGTTAGTCACTTCTTGGAGTTAGTCTTGAGTGAAGGATTAAAGCAGGTGAGGGTTGCTTGGGCCTTGGAGAAGGACATTTATTGTGTTAACATGTTGCTGGGGGTTTTCAACTGTGTAATTTCCTGTGCAATTGCAGTTGGCAAGGAAATAAAACATGATTGTGCATATCTCTGTCTCATTTGTTTCCACAGGAAACGAATCTCTTTTTTTTTTGTTTTTTTTTGTTTTTTTTTTTCTTTCTTCTTTGTTAGCACTGCTGCACAATGCTTTGGCCTTTTGTTGTGTCTTGAGGGGTTTCTTGCAAAAATGTTGAAGAATTGAGGGCATCCAATTTATAAATAAAAATGATCACCTCCAGTGTTTTTTTTTGTGTGTGAAATTAAGTAGTTGAATTATGAAGCTATATGTAAAATAACTCCTTCTACCTGCAGACATATTAAGATTTTATATCTGAAGACTTTTTTAAAAAAAACTTTTGTAGCATTTAAATGTAATCATCCAACAAAGCAGATACTTGATCATATTCTCAGCTGAGGTCCATCAGTGAAACATTACTGTGTGCTTCAGTAAAACTCTGCACACTTCTTCTAGTGGAAGTTTGACTGTTTGTATTTAACTCATAGATTAAGTTTGGAATACATTTTTCTCATATGTGCATCTTAGATATTTGATACACTTAAACTGGAACACTTCTATTTCTTGTAATTCACACTAAACACTAGATAACATAAAACCCAAATATGGTGTATAAACTGATGGCTTTCTTCTCCATAAAGTATATAAAATTATTTTAATTTTTTTTGTGAGAATTTTACAAAAGCGAAGGTCACAGAATTTTTCTGGCCGTGGTGATTCTCATATGTTTGAGAAAATAATTGTCAGTACACTGAGCTATAAGTAAAACGTATCCTCTCAACTCTTTTCTGTTTGTGTCTATTAGCGAAGATAATCTTACTGTTTTGTGATAAAGTGTTTATCTAGGCTTAATAGAAATTAGGAAATTTATAGAAGTGAATCTCTAAGGATTTCTTTCTGTCTTTAGGGTTTCTTTCTTCTTCGACTTGTGGTATTTTGTCTTTCCGTAAGATAAGATCAGAATGAGACATTTTGTCCTAACCATTATGGCTTTTCCAGTCCTGGGGCAGCAAGGCTAGTGTTTGTACTCAACAAAAGCTTCTTTGCTGGTTCTTTTTTTTTGTTTGTTTTTAAAAAATGTAAAGATACATGACTGAGTGTTAGTGTACATTGTGGTGACATCGTTTGAAGAAAGAGACTGTCTTAAAACTTCTGCTGTATCTGAATTAATGCATAAAGGTCTGTATGAGTGTAGCAAAATGTTTTCAATATATATCTATTTTTTTTTAGGACTTGAAATTCTAAATCTGCAAGACCAAGTGAAAGAAGCTGTTTCCCCCCCAAGTCCTTCAAGCTGTTTCTTGGTGTGCCCTGCCTCAGTCAGGTGACATTAGAGCCCTATCTGGGACTGGA